AAAGAAAATAAAGTGACGTAAGCGTAGGAACCACTGTACCTGTATTTTCCAAATGTCGATGGAAATCCACAGATGTGATCTTGTCTTTTCGAAGGACCAAAAACACTATAAGGTGTATACAGTATATAAGATGAATGAGTGCAGATGGGATGCAAGGGAAAGTTAGTGTACGAAACAAACCCAATGAAAGTCGATCTAACACTGAATTTATTGTAAAGAATTATAAATTGATGTATAGGCAAAAGTACGGAAGTTACATGATTTCACAAGTAACAAATGCATTGTTTCTGCGTGACCTAAATAAACGAGTCATTGAAATAAAATTACATAAAATATCTGCGGTAACCCGTACACCTGTGATGTAACTTTTTCTTCATACTTTCATCCTGCCTTAGGACAGGCAAAAATTGAGGAATTAAGAGCGCATATTCAAATACGTCAAGTCGAAATCTATGCGATCTCTTTGGAACGGCGTAATATTGACGCACACTACAATGTTATCTCTGTGTGCGTGTCAGGGCGAGCGCGACGCTAGTTGCTTTTAATGTGGCTTTCCACTATGGGATATAATACATATTATATCCCGATATATAAATTATATCCCACGATTGCCCTTCACACTGTGAACTGTGTGATATAACTTTTAACCAGTGTGCGTTCGTCATTGGACGATCTGAGGACGTAGCGGAGGCGCGGAAGAGTGTGCGGGGTACAGGAGGTGAAATATAATATGAAAATATCGCTCGGTCCATCGAAAAAATATTTATAGTTTGGGATGTAATATATATTATATCTCAGTGGAAACGGTTCCATTTAAGAGTACGGTGAGCGATATTAATTTATATATCGAGATGTAATATAAATTATATTATATCCCATAGTGGAAAGTCGGCTTTAGTTGCACGAATCATTTTTATATTATTAGAACTAAAAGAATAAAAAAATAATTTCCACATAATGGCTTATATAGTATATAGAAATTGGGGGCTAATATGTTGAAATTGTTTAATTCTTTTAGTACATTGAAGTCCGCTTTACATTTTCACCCTATTGAGTATATTATAAAATATGTTCTAATTAAAATATGTACTATATAAAATGTATATCATTTGATAAACTTTTATTCTGTTTCATAATGTAAACATAATTCATCAAACTAACAATTTCATTAGTGTCGGCGGGGACGAACTCGGATTGCTCGCGTTTACGGCGAATACTTCGCCCTTATGCTACTCAACTCAAGCACGGCTTATATCTTTTTTATGTCTGTTTAATCATAACGTTATCTCCACACTAGGAATTTTTCCTAAGTACATCATGAGGGCAGTTTAAATACATTAATTTCACAAGGACAAACATACAGACCCTGAACAATTATTTGTAGGTTACAGAAATTTTTGTTGCGTCTGGGATTCGAACCAGCGGCGCTCAGCGCTACAACTCATTATCAAGTCACTCCACCACGGAGCCAAAGGTGAAAGCCAACGATTTTGTATTTTTACTAGAGCCGAATTGCTTATGTTCATTACCCATTTCTAAAAAAATATGTATGAAATGTAAATTTGCCACCATTAAATCATTTAATATTTAACCACTCGTGATATCCGTCAGTCTATGGACCTGATCTGACCTATGGTCAATCCAAAGAGTATAGTAGGTTTGGCCAAAGACAATTTTTTTAAATGAAGGTAAATATAACTTAGTGTCATTACCATGTTCTTATCCAAAAATAAAAATTATCAACAATTAAAATATCGAATTATTTCTATGAAGGTCATGTGAGCGCTAGAGAAATGATTGTAAGACGTTGTTGACAAATAAAATGTTTAATGAAATAGTACAGTAAAAATATAATTTAACATTGAACGAAATTTCCGATTCAATTTTTTTTATGAGGTTTAGGATCACTTATTCAGCATAAAATCACAAAATGCCGACAGATCCAGGTGGCGCTTCAAGTGCAATCTTGAAAAAACGTTTTCAGCCGATATCTCGGTAACTATGCACTGTAAGGCAAAAGTTATACAAACCATTATTGTAGAAAATAAAATTTCGCATCTTTTGTTTCCAGTAAATTTTTTGGAAAACTTACCGTTTACAATTTATGGCCCATTTAATGAACAGGTGGCGCTTCAAGCGCCATCTTGATAAAATGTTTTCAGCCGATATCTCGGAAACAATGCACTTTAAGGCAAAAGTTATATAAACAATTATTGTAGAAAATAAAATTTCGCATCTTTTGTTTCCAGCAAACTTTTTTGTAAAACTTACAGTTTACGATTTATGGCCCATTTAATGAACAGGTGGCGCTTCAAGCGCCATCTTAAAAAAACGTTTTCAGCCGATATCTCGGAAACAATGCACTTTAAGGCAAAAGTTATACAAAACAATTATTGTAGAAAATAAAATTTCGCATCTTTTGTTTCCAGAAAACTTTTTTGTAAAACTTACCGTTTACGATTTATGGCCCATTTAATGAACCGGTTTTTATATCGCGGCCAATAACTCTTGAAATATTAGATTAATCAATAAAATGCATAAATTTATTTTGAAAGATGAGTTTATTTTCCAAAACTTTTGTTTGAAACTTTTTTTCTTACATTCATACTTTTTGAGTTATTACTTCTATAGTATAAGATGTTTCATGTCACGCATAGCTGTCAGCGTCACCCGCCGACCTCGGCCGACGCTCGGCAGGTGACGCGGCAGCTAATTTCTGATTAAGAACCCGGATTTTATTGCTATTATTTCGGGGAATTCCAAGTAAGACCTCATTATTGTTTACTAACTACGACTTACGGAGTCTCATTTTTGAAATTCGAGTTATAGAGTATAAATATCTATTATCAATATTTCGTAGGGAAATAACATTTTCTTCGAGTTACAAAGTCTAATAATTCGAGATACCGCGTATTTAGGGGTTCAGCGGAAGGGAATGGCAATTTTTTTCGACTTACTGAGGATTTTAACTTAACGAGGTTCGAGTTATAGAGATTCCACTGAATATCATAACACGCATATAATTTTTTAAGTAGAGCGTGTCTATCAACAACTTAATATTACTAAGTTTTTAAGTTTATATGTGAACTATATAATAATATAATTATTTTTAAAAGTTATAATCTTATCTATGGTTTCGAGTAAACTTAGTGATCATATACTCTTTGGCTCTAAGGCGTCCCTCTAAATATAAGTATACTCTTTGGCGCGGTCTAACAAGGAGACATTGACGTCTCCATATGGAGACGCCGGACTTTTAAGGGTTAAATATTACCATTACCATAAACATATTTCAAAATTACTTACTACCAAAATATTGCTTAAAAAGTCCCAATCGTTTAAAATGCTTGATGGTGCTATAGGTAGCTAGTTATAGTATAGTGTAGTATATCCCTATCGGTGTATCAACGCGATCACGCGGCGTCGGTGAGAAAAAGTGATACGTCCTATCGTTGGGATTACCCGGAGCGTACTGAATCGGACGGCGTCTGCGCGTGATGATTTATAGTAATTTTAAAATAATTATATAAAATAATTGACAAAATAAAACGAGCTAAAACTTTTTTTTGGATGTTTAACATTACATGTATTTTGATAAAATAATTAAAATAGATATGTTTATAACTAAATACACGGAAAAAAATTACATTGAAGTAGACAGTTTTGGTGATTTTATAATATTGTTTTATAATATTAAATCGAAATATATTCGTAATTTAGGTTTTGCTATACACTAAAAGACTATATATTCCGTTATACTAACACTTAAAATAAAGTATTTTAGCTTATAATAATGGTTGTATGCAACCTGAAAGATAACTCTGACGCATATTTTCGTAAAACGTCGTGAAGGGATTGTCTTCGCTCTAAAAAAGCGTCAATAAAAACTATGATTTTGCATTGCAATGCACTAAATAAAAACTTCATCTTTCTAAAGCCCTAATTTTCGGCAAATAATCTCACATCGTTACGATATCGCCCTTGGAAAAACCCTAAAACATGTAGTTTTCGACGCGAAACGAAAAGGAAAAATTGAGATTTTACTAAAAAAATGTTATTTTTCATTGAATTTACGTTCTATAATTGAAACCAAACCACTGGTTTCAAGGACTTAGTGTTTACACTAACACCCTATATATATTGAAATTGATAGGGCTCATGTACTTGTCTGGTCTTGTAACTTTAACTGCAAAAATAAAATAAACACTGTATTTTCTCATTGACATATTGTATGATGTAACTAAGTTTTCTATTTCTATATTGTCGTTTTAATCTGCCATACACAAATGGGCATCATGTTGTTTCTAAATTGTCTTTGTCACCTATTCTTATACTCATGAATGCAATAAATACGTACGACCTTTGCTTTGGCGCTCGCCCGCACTCTGCCAGCTAGACGAGCGACGACGAGCAATGGCTAGGCTAGTCAAATGGTCTGTCTATTTGCTCGGCCAACATGTATAGATGGCCTAAGAGGTGACAGAGGGAAACTAAAACGGTGATAAGTCTTTCTGATAACAATTCGAAACAACAAAAAGTTGTATGTACCACCAGCCTGCCAAGCATGGCAACGGTACCAAATGTCCCCCTATGAGGCAATTTATGAAGAAGATCTTTGTTTGACCAAAATCCACTATTTTGATGTGCTGTAATGATGATGATGACAAAGATGAAAAGTGCTGTTTAATTTTACATTTATTATTGTATTTAGCTTATATATAAAGTAAATGCAAATTATGAACTTCAGAGCATTTGACACGATAAATTACCATCAAGTGGACTGTTACACTATGTTGTTTAGCTTGTTAGTTTAGTGGTCGTAAACGCGACTGCTGATCTTGAGGTTCTAGGTTCGAATCCCGGGTCAGGTAAAAAAAAATTGTTCAGTTTTCTTGTCAGAAAACTGAACAATTTTTTTTTAATTGGCTATTCCGTTGAGAGTGGGCACCGTGATCAAAGTTCGGTCTGTACGACATTACATTAGGCGTGAACGTGTGCAGGATTGGTCGTACGTGTTCAAGCCGCCAACGGTGTGCAAGTACGTGGGGTCGTCGAAGTACGCGGCGCTGAGCACGCTGCCCAGCCAGCTGCTGCCGGCAGTGGCGCTGCCGCCGCACGCCGTGTACCGGCCGCGCTGGCAACTCGACGCGCCGTGCGACCCGGACCCCGACCCGCACCCGGCCCCGCCGCGCACCGGTCAGTGCCCCGCTTCTCACCTCCTAACCTAAATTTTATATTCATTTTAGTTAAATAGCTTGATTTTAAGTAAACTTGCGGAACCACACTCGGAGATCATTAATTTCTACATTCAAAGTATTATATATATGATTATATATACCCAAAGCTAAACAAAAACGGTATACACAGCGTGCAGCATACAATGTTGAGAAAAGATCTACTTTTTCTTTTGAGAAACTGTATGTTTCTAATTTTTTTATTGTGGAAATAAGTTGAAAGTAATTTAACATGACTTATCTTTTTACAGGGACAGCAAATAGTACAAACAACAGCAGTAGTAGAGGCTTAAAGAGGCCCGCGTCGCCGAGCACGGACGCGCGGCCGGCAAGCGTGGCGGGCGTGGGGCCGGGTGCGGGTACGGGTGCGGTGGCGGGGGCGGGTGCGGGCGTGGGGTCGCCGCGGCCGCAGCGCAGCCCCGCGTCGCCCGGGTCGGTGGCGTCGCCGCAGCCGCCCGCCGCCGCCTGCCCGCTGCTACTCAACGTGCTGCTCACCGACACCGTGCTCAACGTCTTCCGCGATCACAACTTCGACAGCTGCACGCTTTGCGTCTGCGATACTGAGGTATTTCTACCTACTCTAATTCTAAATATTACTTTATAGCGTATAATAAATTTATCATCGTCATTGTCATTACACCCCTTCACAAGTCCGCAGTTGAACATAGACCTTCCCTATAATTAAGCTATTTGCCTTAATTGCTACGTTTGGCAGGCGAGTTGACAAGCGCAGATTTTCATAACATTTTGTTGTGTTATAACTAAGATGCTTGTTTCATTTTATTTTGTTACGATTTTTGTATATGGATGTTCACTCTCTTTTTTTACGATTAAAATTTAATTTTTAGAAAAAATTTCGCTATTTCTCAATCATTAGAATTTAGTTAGTCGTTTCAGTATATGTTATATTGGTAGTATAGTTTTAGAACGAATGGGTCGGCTCGACCGGGGAACGACCACGCTCTCACAGAATACCAGCGTAAAACAGTAGCTTATTGCTGCTGTGTTTCGTATGGTGAGTGTAGAGAACCGGAGATTCTTTTTACTGAAAACGAGGCTTTTCATCTTAATTGTCACGGGTGACAACTTATCTGCTTTTTGATTCGTAATCGAGGATAGATGTAGATGTCTATGGACTACAGTTATCACTTACCATCAGGCGGAATGTGTGCTCGTTTGTCATACAAGCTCATGGCAATAAGTGAATATTATTTTAGACAATGGTCTGCGTTACTGAATCAGTACTATAGTAATATATGATTCACAGGTGGGCAACATCCGTGGCGCGGACGCGGCGGCGTACCTGGCGCACGGCGAAGCGGCGCCCGAGCATGAGAGCGTGCGCTGCTCGTGCGGCTTTAGCGCCATCGTTAACCGCCGTCTCGCGCACCGCGCCGGGCTCTTCTACGAGGTACGCTATTAAAATATATGGTCTTGTATCAGTATGGGATCGGTGGGGCTATAAGATGTGGTAAGTTATTTTTTTTATGAAGTAGGAACAGACTAATCAGTATTTTACTATATATAGTACATGTCTTTGTATGTGGCAGAGCCATGCTCCAGCTATATTACGGTTGAAGCTCGAATGGGTCTGCTCGGCCAGGGAAAGAGCACACTTACACTATGCCAATGTAGCAGTTGATTAATTACAGCATCTATTTACCATTAGATGTGCTGTGTTCTTGTTTGTCGCACTTATTCTATAAGATATATAGTTTTAACGTTATATGTTTGGTGTTGCAGGACGAACTGGAGATCACGGGGCTGGCGGTAGAGGCGGTGGAGGCGGCGGAAGCTGCGGAGGCTACGGGTGCGGCGGGGGCGCGAGGCGCGGGCGCGGGGCGCGGCGCGGCGCTTGCGGAGGTGGCGGGAGTGCTAGCGGCTCAGTGCGCGGCGCCGGCCGGCGGGCCCGCCTCCGCGCTGGCACGCGCCGCCGCGCGCCCGTACACGCCGCGCGCCGACCACCTGCGCCTCAACCTACTCGAGTCAGTACCGCCTGCCCGCCCGCCCGTCCAACTGCCCACACACAACACGCGCACCACACACGCACCGCACGTGTACTGCGACCTCGGTGTTGCCTTTTTAACACGCCTTTATTAACTTCACGTGTATCTATCTATGTTACGGAATTTTGTAATGTTATTTTCAACAAATCGTTGATTCAAAAAATTTTATCAAGGACAATACCATAATTTAATAACTTCATCCAATTATCCTGATAAAATCACCAGAATAAAATAAAATTTATAAGCTTGACATATATGTACTCATGTGTGTATTAAAGAAATAGAATTTTGCAGAGCAGTATCAACCCACTTTTAAGACATACAAATTTCCTCAAATTATACAAAGATTAGGAACCGATGACAACACAATTATTTCATGACTATAACCTAGTATCATGATTCATGACAGCTCATGATCAATGCAAAATACTTAAACATAAGTATTTTTAAATTTTTTATGTTATTTACACATTAAAAAGGAAGCTGGAGTACTATTCCACCTGATGATAAATGAGCACCGGAGAATGATAAACCATACTTACTTAACACAATAAAAGCCTACTGACTTTAGCCTTGAAATTGGATTCAAACACAGATTCTGACAAATTATTTCACTACGACGATGTAAACCATCTGGTTAGAATACGTGATATTTACACAACAGTAGTGTGAAGACTGGTCAAGCTGAAGGAAGTATTAAGTTATGAAATGCCTACACACAATCTTCTAAATGTATCCTGTAGAGTGTAGAATATCGAAAGACTAGCTACTATGCGTCTGTAATCAAGAATGGTAAAATTTAACCAAATTGTGACCAGCCGTAAACCTTTTAAAAAGGATTTCTTGGAGTTACTTCATTTCTCTTAATCGCCACAATCAGAGTTACTTAACAGCTTTTCCAAATTTTTTAAAATGTTTTATTTGCCCTTACGATTCATCTTTACAAAAAGTTTACAGTTAAAACCATATATTAAACAAAATATTAATTCAATAACTTACAATGACTCATCATTTTTATTGTTTGTTTTTACACGCATTTTGTTGATAGAAAAAAAAACTAATTGTAACGAAGAACTTTGCATATTTTAAATAAAGGCATCAAGTAGGGTAAAGGCGGGATAGATGCCCCTGTGGGATAGTTGCCCCATTTTCCCTAACTTCCTAAACTCACGACTAAGAAGTAATAGTATAACTAAGAGCCGCAGCCACCCCGCACCTCTGTTAGCCACGGGCCATCGTATGGCGAGGATGTGTTTCGCTTGTGTGTGCATTCATTTCCGCGGCGAACTTTACAAACACGTCAAAGTTTTAAAGGTTAGTATTTGCTGTTGTATAACTTTATAAGTAGTCATTAATTCCATTATATTATTTATTACGTCAATAAACTGATTCATCAAGTATGCATCTAAATGTAAACAGTTACTCTTTTGTTTTTTATTTGTTTAAAAACTACTTGGGCATCAATCCCGATCAAAAAGGATAGTTGCCCTGATTTTTCGAGGTATAGGTGCCCCTAGGGGCATCTATCCGTCCATACACCATGTATACCCATATGTGGTTTTAGGGTATATTTTGAACATATTTTAGTGTTCTGTTATATTTTGATGCTATATTTATTTTGATGTGTTTACATATATTTGTATTTGCACTTTTTAGTGATTGTAGCAGAACCATGCCACGAAAATACGAAAGAAAGGAAGGAGTTCAAGCTCGAGTATGTTCTTGGACTACAGAACAATTGCAGTCAGCTTTCGACGAAATTAATAGAAATACCATGGGGATAAAAGAAATATCCCGACAGTTTGGGATTCCATCAAGAACATTGCGAAGACGTGATGCTGCTAGAAATACAACGAAGCAGACACTGGAACAACAACGAAGCACACAACCGCTTCTTTGAGACTTCGCCTGCGGGGCACAGGGGAGCGGTCTACCTATAATAATTAATATTTAATAAGAAGAATTTATAGTTTTTATTTTTGTTTAACAAATGTTTTTATTAAGTATGTTTATTTTATTTGATCTCAAATTATGTAGAACTATATGCTAACGATGAAAGTTGAAAAAAATTTATTAAAAACTGCAAAATGCTTTTCATTATTAAGCCCACGTTTCTTGGAAACAATTTCTGTTTTAGGAGTAGCTTTCTACTGCTAAAACACTATTTGTCCTCAAAACCTCATAAAAGTGGTCGAGTTTTTCGTTTATACAGTATGAAGGGCATCTATCCCATGCCGCAGGCATCTATCCCTCTTAGTATTTTCATGGTGGGGCAACTATCCATATGGGTAGGCATCTATCCCCAAAAAAGGAGTTCTACAAAAACCAAAAATTTAACCAAAAATACATATCACAGTTAAACATAAAGGATTAAACTAGCTAAATTCATAGACATTATTTATATAAAATTGTTTCTTTTTAAATTAGGAGGATATTTCAAAAACTGGGGCATCTATCCCGTCTTTACCCTATATTAGTACATACTTAAGCGACCACACAGCACGGTTGATCTTAACTAGTTGAAAAAAAAAGAAAGAAAATGAATGTAAACATGTACATAATAATATAACGTAACGTTGAGACGTGGTTCTGGCAGGTACAGCGACGGCGGTGCCGCAGCCACGTGTGCGCTGCGCGAGGCCTCCACCAGCGGCAGCGCGCCGGCCGGCACGGCCAACACCGGCAGCACGGGCAGCATCGGCTGCACCGGCACCGTGCACCGGTGGCCCTTCATCGGAGCCCGTGCGCCGAGATCCTCACGGGACGTCGTAAGGTAATCATTGATAGTTAATATTTATTTCGTTATAGTTGACGTTTTTTCCTGGATAGTTGACTTTTCATCATTTCCGTTAAGAGTTACTTATTCAAATTATAAATAATTTCATCTTGAAGTGAAATTATAATCCAAAATAAAAAAAGTCTTATTTATTTTGGATTATAATAAATATTTCATTTTATTTAGAGTGAAAATTACGATTCAATGTTTGATTTACATTGAATCGTAATTTTAAGATGTAGTAATTTATTATTGATAATATTGGAAAGTGATCAATTGAATTATAACTAGAAGAAGAGACTATTAACTTAACTTGATGTATAATTTATATAAACAGACCTATACATGTAATTTTTTTTTCGACAGATTAATGCGTCGGCTTCGACCTCTCCTCCAAGACGCCATTCAGAAGCGGTGTTGTGGAGCGCGGATGTGGGACGGTGTGACCGGGCCGCTGACGTGGCGGCAGTTTCACCGGCTGGCGGGGCGCGGCAACGAGGACCTGTGCGAGCCGCAGCCCGTGCCGCCGCTGCTGGTCGGCCACGACCGCGACTGGATCTCACTGTCGCCGTACGCCCTTCGCCACTGGGAGAGGCTTTCGCTCGAGCCTTACTCATACGCGCGGGACGTGGCGTTCGTCGCGCTCGCGGCGGACGGCGAGGCGCTCGCCGACCCGTTACGAACGTTCTTTCGCGAGCTGTCCACCGCGTACGAGGCGTGTCGGCTGGGCAGGCATCAGCCGATCACGAGGATAGCGCGGGATGGGATCGTGCGAACGCCGCCGGCGGAGCGTTGCGACACGGACGAATGGGCCGGGGAGCTGCCGCCGGGACGGCTCGGCGAGTACGTGCGCGCCTATGCGGAAGCGTTGCGTGAGCTGGTGGCGCAGCTGTCACCGATGACCATCGACCGGACGCTGTTCGAGGGAGAGAAGGCGACGGGCATGCGGCCGCCCGTGGCACCCGAGCGGCCGGACACGCCGGGTGGCGGGGCGGGCGGTGGGGTGTGCGAGGCGGGGGACGCGGAGGCGGCGGGCGGCGGCGCGGCGGCGGGGGTAGGCTCGGCCGTATGGGCGGAGGAGGACGAGGCGGGCCCTGCGGCGCTGGTGCTGTACCTGGTGGAGCCGCCCGCCGCGCACGCGCACCACGCGCTGGCGCTGCTGGCGCTGCTGCGTCTCGCCGCGCAGGCGCACCACCACCTGCAGCACCACAACCCCTTCATAAAGGTGATCCTACATTTGAATACTATATAATCATACTATGCTTCATCTTCTTTTATACTGTTTCTTCATAAATTTTCTCAGATTGTCGCTGCTCTCGATTGTCAATTTCGATATTTACTTCTAGCATATACGAAATAATATATTGTCAACGACCAAGAATCATTAGATTTGTAGATAGTTGTAACCTTAGAGTAATTACTAGCATAAAGACAGTCCTAAAATAAGAACAATTTTTTTTAGCTTAATTCTTTATACTCTTATTCTCACCTTCTTTCTTATACAAGGTTGTTGCCGTTTTTCCATTCCATAAACACATCTATGGATGTTCCATAAGCGAAACAAAAAACGTTGTCGATGAACTCATTTAGTCTAAGTAAAATTAGGGACTTTTATAAATCCGGTTCGTAATACCTATTTAAATCAATAGAGTTTATGGAAGCTTCATTCACATATTACAACAAAAACGTAGTTGAATAATGCAAAAAATCGTGTTATCGTTGTATAATTAAAAATATTTTTACGTGGTAGAGCCATGCTGCAGTTATATTAGTAGTATAGTTGTAGCACGAATGGGTCGGCTCGACCGGGGAAGGACCACGCTCTCACACAATACCAGCGTGAAATAGTAGCTTAATGCTGCTGTATTTCGTATGGTGAGTGTAGAGAACCGGAGACCCTTTTTACTGGAAATGAGGCATTCCATCTCAGTCCTCGCGGGTGACAACGCATCTGCATTTTGATTTGTAATGGAAAATAGGTGTAGATGTCTATGGGCCGCAGCAACCACTTACCATCAGGTGGACTGTGTGCTCGTTTGTCACCCTATTCTATAAAAAAAAAATATCGTGACAAGGTCACTATGAAATCTACTAAAGTTCAGCCGGTATATTTCCGCCAAATTAACCTTAGATTAATTATGGGTTTCAAAGGGAATAATAACTATTTGTTTAATCGACGCTGGATTTGCTTTACGGAACGTACACAGAGGGCACTGCTACGATAGTACAATAACAGCGGCACGGCGGCGTTCTACCTTCTCATTTGGCATTAGATCACAACTACCAATAAATCGATTACAAAAAAATAAATAACTAAACAAAAAGAAGTATATCGATGTCGATTGTTGCTAACATTGCTAACAAATGACTATAGATTAAAGACATCATGTCTTGTAAAGTAACATTACATATAATAATACTACAAGTGTACTTATTTGGCATAGTATAAATCATTCAATCAATCAAAAACATTTATTTCGGATTCTTCACACACATGTGTTAGTAAGCAATTAAAACTTATCCTAGTGTTAGTAACGTTAATGACATTATTATTTAATTTAATTTATTTTGATTGAATGAGTCCGCCCCACGCAGACAAATCCAGTGCCGAAGCAGTGGAGAATCCCACCTATTTGCCAATGCGCTCAGAATGTTGTTCGAAGTTTCGCGCACACGTCTTGACAGCGAGGCGCTTCTCTTGCAGATGCTGGTATAAAAGCAATCACTTTGTACCTCGACAAACATAGCCGATGTACTGCAAACTACACTAAACGCATTAATGTATTGAACACGCAGATAACTATACGCTATTTTGTATATATATATATATATATATATATATATATATATATATATATATATATATATAGCCATAAATAGCAAAAATAAATAGGCCAAAGATGAATACTTGTCGTTTCTATTTCCACGCATGAATAACACATATCATCATTCAATAGATTTGTTTCTATTTGCTTTATTTGAAAATTGAATTAGAAAAAGCTAGACAACATTGACCAATTTATGTAGAATTGTAGGTTCTCTCTATGCATATGTATGTATGTAATTACTCTAAGGTTTTAATTATTATAGATGTCACTTTTGACAGACTTCTAATGAGAGGCATTGCGTATGAGCTTTAAATTTATTTATCTTATTAATTTAAAACTTTCCCCTATTTTTACTTTCACCTTGAAAATCTTGAAAGTTGTATAACATCCATTTGGAAGTGCAAACGTCAAAGTGATGGGTTCGTGCGGCAGATAATTTCACTGGAGGGTGTGCTGGAGTGCGGCGGCACGGAGCTGCGCACGCTGGCCTTCAGCGTGTTCAGCGGCGCGCGGCGCCTGCTGCAGCACCAGCCCAACGGCAAATCACTCACCGGCTTTGGCACTGCTGCCAACGCAAACCTTTTCCTCAATTCCAAAGACGTAAGTGCCGAAACTACATAGAAAAACATCTACCTAGTGCAGACAAACTATTCTTGACTAGAAACTGTAGTTTAACATTATTATTAAAGGTCATTTAACTAAAGCTGGCATGTTCACAGTACTCACGCTTATGCAATTTCACTATACAGTATGTTTATAAATAAATGATTTTGATTCAAAATGCGATTCTAGTCTAAGTGTAGACTAGAGTTAGGTTCTAGTGAGATTGCTTGAGTTGTGGTTGTGTTGTTGGTGGTGTTGTTTGCTATAATATATTATGATTATTACATTATTGCTTTTAATCTAAATCGTAAATTAAATCTTCTACTAAACCCAAACTTTCATCGCTCGAAGAACATGATGTTTCGCCGTCGGAATTTCCTAGTGTTATTATAAATGAGTCAGTGAAATTATCCACTTTTGGTTCCTCTTGTTATCGCGTCTAAAACTTATCAACAGTAACAGAATCTGCTTCTTTTATAAATAATTCTTCCACAGTCATCAAGTTAAACTTAACATTTTGTGATGCAACTTTCATATTAATTTATACTCCACAGTAACTCTATTGGGTTGAGTTCTTGATGGCGTGGTAGTAGGCGCAATACACTGTGTCCGTGATCTTGAAGGATTTTATCAAGTACAAATTAAGTATAGCATACGTTGTGCTTCTTTCTGAATACCATGTATTATATTTGTCCAACCAAGCTAACATGTCACTTTTTACTGAATTTAATGCGGCCGCTGGATCCGATACAACGTACGATGCATTATTGACTACTAAAAGTGACTGTGGCAGTAAGTTTGGAAAAAAATTTCTTTAATCCATTTCTGATAATTACCAGCATTCATATTATTGTGATAATCTCCCGTTTGTTTTATGCTGGATAGATAAGCAAAGCTTCTGTAATGAATCCTTGTTTCGAGCAGGCGTGAACTATCACTAGCATATCGCGCTTGGAAAAAGGTACTTTACAACCTTCGCTCGTTTCGTCGGACCATGATTTTGGCAACGTATGCGAGCTGTGTATGATGTGATCTATATTCTTGCGGTTTCGAAAGATATAATCTTCTTTTGAGTCTGATCTGACTTTTTTCAATAAGTAGTTTTTTATTATTTTGTGTCTTTCTTCATCTGAAACCTAGATTCCGAACGATCTTCCTTAGTAAAGAAATGTCACCTGTACGAGCTGCTGTGACATACACCACCCTCAAAGTTGATAGTTTCTTTCAACACTTCTAATAACCTTTTAAAAGTAGGAAATGTGTGCTGAACCAGATGGAAGTTGCAGATGGTTCGCCTTACGACTTCTTGGTCAAAACTATCTACTGTCGATTTTTTTGCTAACCTTGATCACTTTTTACCCGGTGTTCTGAAAGTAACTTGAGGCGCCAATGTTTTGAATGCTGGTGGCTCTCTTCGAACTTGATTGCGTACTTCACAAACAACTTGTTGGACACTTCTCTGAGAAACACCAGTCGCCTCTGATGTCAAACCATACAAATTTTCATTAAACGATCTCTCACTTTTTTATGATGATGCATGAAATATTAAAAACATTGTACACTATTTCATGACATTGTTCTGTTAAAGTTTTGGCGAAACCAATTCTTTCAGAAGACATTTTTATTTTAAACCTCAAAATAGGTAAATAATCACACGCGCCGCGCGACGATCACACGTGACTGACGCTAACGGTTGAATTACAAAAAGACCATGCTGTATTTATAAACAGTAGTAAAATCAAAACAATAACTGTCCCCTTCACACTCATAAGCTAAACCGCGCGAGAGAGAGGCTGGCAGACTTTTCATGATGCGCATGCAGTGCGACGTCACGCCATGCGCCTATTCGCAGACTGAAATGTGTTGAACTTGCCAGCTTTAGTAAACTACTGACTTTTATAGATGTACATAAATTCAAATTGTACTTAAATGTGTCTGAGATCTGCCCCTATCACTATCTTATTGAATTAATATCTCCATTGAGTTGGTAGTAATATAGTTCCGTTGACATACGCTTGAGTACCACTCATACTTCTATACAATTTCAGTCGAAGACGGTACGAAAACGTTACTGTAAAAATAATCAACCGTACTACGGTAAAGCTAAAAATGTTTCTTAAATTAGCAGGTCATTTAATGAAACATAAATAAAATTACAACAATTTCAATTTTGATTTAAATACTACCACTAATTTACTGTCAAAAATTACCCCATTTAAAATTGATTATTTATTTATTTATTTTACAATGTAAACTTGGAAGATAATTAAACGATTTATTCTAGTGTATGTATGTTCTATTAATAAGTAATTCGAGTGCGTGATTGGTGTAAGAAAAGTAAAGGTGTGAAATGTAAGGTTGTGCGTGTGGTTGGTCGCAGGAGAAGAACCGCGCGGCGTACCGGCTGTTCTCGCCGGCGTGGGTGCTGGCGCCGCCGCGCGCGCTCAAGGAGGTAGCGGAGACCTGGGGGCAGGCGTGCGGCGACCAGTGCTCTGTGCTGTTCGTGGCCTACTGCCTGTCGCACGACCAACGCTGGCTGCTGGCCGCTGCCACCGACGCGCGCGGCGAGCTGCTCGACACCGCCGCCATCAACATACACGTGCCCGCGCGGTCAGTGCCCTTCCCTCGCCTCCCACATTCCCACAGCTCCAGGTGGCGGAGACGTGGGGGCAGACGTGCGGCGACCAGTGCTCTGTGCTGTTCGTGGCCTACTGCATGTCGCACGACCAGCGCTGGCTGCTGCCGCCGCCACCGACGCGTGCGGCGAGCTGCTTGACACCGCCACCATCACCATACATGTGCCCGCGCGGTCAGCGTGCCCCTTCCCTCGCCTCCCACATTCCCACAGCTCCAGGTGGCGGAGACGTGGGGGCAGACGTGCGGCGACCAGTGCTCTGTGCTGTTCGTGGCCTACTGCATGTCGCACGACCAGCGCTGGCTGCTGCCGCCGCCACCGACGCGTGCGGCGAGCTGCTTGACACCGCCACCATCACCATACACGTGCCCGCGCGGTCAGTGCCCTTCCCTCGCCTCCCACATTCCCACAGCTCCAGGTGGCGGAGACGTGGGGGCAGACGTGCGGCGACCAGTGCTCTGTGCTGTTCGTGGCCTACTGCATGTCGCACGACCAGCGCTGGCTGCTGCCGCCGCCACCGACGCGTGCGGCGAGCTGCTTGACACCGCCACCATCACCATACATGTGCCCGCGCGGTCAGCGTGCCCATAGTCCCAATGCAAATCACTATATGCATACATCGTGGGAATGCTCTTTTACGTACTATCATCCATCCGAACATATATTGTTTGAATGTTGTTGCTTTTAAAACTTAATGTCGGAGTTTATTTGTATTGCAATATTAGTTAATAATAATAACAGTCATTCTTGGAACTGTTAAATCTCTAGACGCTGTCATGTTTTTTGATCATGTGATCAAAGTATTGAGAGCACCTCACCTCGCAAATGTCAGTGCTCACAGTATAAAAATGGCAGCGATTTATGACGTCATATATTTCTCTAGGATACTGCAGCAATATACTGGCAGTCCATAACAACGAATTTTTCACCAGTGAGAGCATTGAGCAGTGTATATCGGAACACGGCCAATATCTTGAAGTCTTGCAGTGGTATGCTTGGGTTTGGATTTAATTTTATTAATATATAATATAATAAATCCAGGATCTCATTCTTAATTGAAATTGGGATAATTATTAATTTGAATGATCTCGCGAATCATCCTTTGTGGGAATCGGTATTGTTTAGCAAAGATTTGTGGTCTATCAAATGTGATGTAATGGGCGGGGTCAATGTTGTACATGTGACAATCGCGTTTTGTGTTTCGTTAGTAAGTAATGTTGACGTGGGGCGCGCAGGTCGCGGCGGCGGGCGGGGCGCGCGGGACGGGCGGGTCCGGCGCGGCGGCTGGGCCTCACCAAGCTGATGGACTTCACGCTGGGCGTCATGTCGCAGGCCGCGCAGCCCTGGCGCCTGGTCGTGGGTCGCGTCGGTCGCATCGGCCACGGCGAGCTTAAAGGTACACAAGCGCGCACGCACGCACACATTAATTCCTTTATCAATAAAATGTGTCATTCAATCACAACTATATTTCATTTATTTTCAACATCTCTTTCATTTCGTGCGAGGCAATCTTCCTTTTTCACAAGGTAGACCGATTGGTATTTGCGCTACCATACCAGTATTACCATTGTATAACTCTGATAGGAATCGTGGTAGGCTTATTTTAACTATATAATGTAAGTGTATGATTATCGAGGGGAAGAAATATCAAAATCAATGCAACCCATTAAATGCCACTTTGAAACCATTTTGGATCTAATAGCATCTTCCGATGTTTACATGTTTGCTACTTAACTTTTTATCAGCTGCCATTACTTATCAATTTGTACTGGATTTTTTCTTTAAGAATATATGACATTAAAATTTGGAACACGTCATTTTTGACATGAATATTCATTAAATATTATTTGTATTTGTAACTTTATCGCATTTTCCGTTATCCGATAATATAATTATCCGATGTCTTTAACATGTTAGTAATATGTACCTTATTTTAGATTATAAAATATTATCATAATGAAATAACATAGCTCCAACGTGATTCCTATTAACGAATATTGTAACGAGGTAGACTCGCGGGTAGCTTGGTCGGCTGTCAAGTGCTTGTGTCCCGTATTAAAAATTATTTTAAATATAAAACAGCATTTTTAAATAAGTAAACAAGTATATTTAAGAACAATTTTAGTAGTGTTATAAGATACATTAGTAGAATAAAGTGAAAACAGTGGTCGTTGGTTGTTACAGTGCAAAATAGTGATCAGCTGTTCGTAACAAGATCAGCTGTTTGTCATTAAACCGTATTGCAAATTGGTGCTGTAAACATTTAAGTTATTTAACAAACCTTAAATAGTTAAATGTAAACAAGGTAAATAGTATATAGTAAATCGCTAATTATTAAACATTCTTATAATTATACATATCAAATTACATAATTAATACAAACTTCGTACAGCGACATCTATTGGTCTAACTTTCATCTAAATAAAGTATTTGTCAATAAAAATGGCAAATAAGTGCGGCGCCTGTGGTCGTTTTGCTTCTACAATTGACTCGATAAAGTGCTCAAGTTGCACTCATTTATTTCATCGCAAATGTGCTAGTATTCCTATTGACGGCCGAATATCAAATAAATGGCAATGCAGCGGTTGTAAGGCAAAAAAATGTATGTGCGAGTGGGGTGAACACAATTGCTACGCCCAGTTCGTGTAGCTCGGGCGGCACGGACACAGAGTTCGGCGATGCACAGCTTGGATCCGACGATGGAGGGCGCTGTGATACTAATGTCGACTTAGCCAACGAGCTAAAATTAATACGCGAGCAGTTGACTACTATTGCCCGCGAAATGGTATCTTTTCGCCAAGAAATCACTAACATTAATTCTAATGTTAGTGAAATAAGTAACAGGGTTAGCGACGTCGAGAAAAGGATCGCATGTCTTGAGCAGCAGGCAACGGACTTGCCGAGTCAACCTGGAGGGTCCAAGGTCGAAGATAGCATAGCGGAGTTAAAGTGTCGACTTAACGAGCGTGATCAAGAATTACTTTTAAACGATCTGGAAATATCTGGTGTAATAGAACAGAAGGGCGAAAACCACGTACACCTCGTCACTATGCTTGCGGCTAAAATTGGCACTGAATTGGATGAGCGCGATGTTGTGAGTGCAAGGCGTATAGGCATGCGCCGCGAGGAAATACCAGGCAGCGGTGACAAGCGGAGGCCGCGTCCGTTAGTTGTCCGTCTCGCTCGTCGAGTGATTCGAGATAAACTAATTCACGAAGCGCGCGTTCGGCGGGGGGCGGATACTGCCGGTTTGAACTTAGGTGGCGAGCCGCGCCGATTTTATGTTAATGAGCGGCTCACCTCAATCAATAGGCAATTATTTTATAAAGCACGGGAAGAAGGGCGCAGCAAAGGCTGGAGATATGTGTGGACGCGGGAAGGATGCATTTTTGCGCGTCGTGATTCTGGCTCACCCCGTTATAGAATTCGAACAGAAATAGATATAAACAAAATTTTTGGGGATTGAATAGTTTGAAGCGAATTTTAATCTTGTTCTTTACGTTACTTCTTGCACGATGTCAATTTGGCTGTCGTCTGGATTATAATTATTTCTCAATGATTGTTTCCCCTACGCATCTACGTAGCTGCTATTACGAGAACATTTTATTTTTATTTTTATTTAGACTACATTTTATTTCCATTTTATTATTAGGTTACATTTTATTTTTGTTAAGTTGCTTTGCATACGTTTATGGAGTATGGAGTAAATTTTTTGTCTGTCATTTTGTAGTTACACTTTTAATATTATCACATTTATTCTTTGTCTTTTGTTATAGTGAATATTGTGACAGGTTTAATGTTTGCTTTCTAACGTGTAGCAGCATAACGGGAAATGGCGACAGGATATTGTCGGATAATATTTTCGGAAATCAATTATGTTTATTTATAACTTCTAACTGTGGCCCATACATAGAAATGTATTTGACGGTACATAAGCTGTGGTATCATAGTCTCCTTTATTATGGTTTTCTTTGGATTATTATTAATTTTATAACGTTTTCGTATTATTATAAATTCTTTGAAAATGACTAAATTAAATAAGTTGAAAATTGGCTTCTTGAACCCCGGGTCCCTTGGTACTAGGCACGACGAATTCCTAGCTGCTATGGCGCATCACTCTGTAGACATAATGGCTATCAATGAAACATGGCTTCGGACAGGGGAGGAAGGCCGGGCGCCTTCTGTTCCAGGGTATCGACTGCTTCACGTACCCCGACCTCCCGAAGTTCGTGCGCGTGGCGGCGGTGTGGGTTTTTATTTGAGACGGGGCTTGTCGTCAAAGATTATTCAACATCCTATTTGTCCTGCGGTGGAGCAGATGTGGTTAAATATTAAAATTAACGGCAAGTCCCTTGTCTTTGGTACTGCTTATCGTCCCCCATGGTTGAGCGTGACATTATTTCTGGACGCGCTGAGCGAGTCCTTAGGTTCTTTTGTAGGCTACGATCAAACAGTACTGCTTGGGGATTTTAATATCGACATTTTAAATAAAAATTGTGTTAGTACCAAAATGCTTTCGGACTTCCTAACATGCAATAACCTTGTGCAATATGTTGAGGAACCAACACACTTTACTGAATATAGTGAGACACTGTTAGATGTTATATGTTCAGATGCATCGGTGTCGTATTTAAGTGTGGACTATATTAGTGACCTCAGTAGTCATGCCTTTATTGTATGTGAACTTGACATTCCCAAGCCTAAGTTTCAGCCTGAAAGCGTCACGTATAGACCTTTAAGGGATATGGACATAAACCTTTTCAACCAAGATTTAAAACAAATTAACTGGCACTGTGCATCGTCAGATAACATAAACGATATGATTGATTCTTTTAACAAAAATTTATTAAATATCTTTAATTCTCACGCCCCTCCTAAAACTGTCTATATAAAAAAAAATATTATCCATGGATAACGCATAACATAAGATGTATGATGAGGATACGCAACGAGGCTCAAGTGAGAGCCCGGAAAACAAAACTTACTCCACATAAGGATTATTATAGGGAACTAAAATCAATAGTTAATAAAGAGTTAATAAGCGAGCGTTCAGAAAAAGATTGCCTACTTCAAATTTTATATTAATTCAAAACTAAATCAACCTAAAATAATGTGGAAGCACATTAAACGCCAAGTTCAAATAAAAAGTAAGGATACTTCTTTGCCATCCCATTTCAGTGACCCTGATGCTTTAAACAATCATTTTCTTAATATTCCTGGTAAAAATGACGTCTCATTGTCTCTTCTCACTTTCTTTGAATTTAATGGCACTAATGATAACTCTTTTTATTTTAAAGAAGCCTCGGAGGATGAGGTGGTTAAAGTTATAAACTCTTTGCAGTCTAATGCAGTGGGGTGCGATGGCATTTCTCTTGATATGTTAAAGTTATTACCTAAAGATGTTATTACAGAAATAACATACATAATTAATAAATCTTTTGCGACAAATACCTATCCGGATCTCTGGCAAAAAGCCATCGTTAAACCTATACCAAAAACTAGTAACCCTGTTTGTATGTCGGATCTCAGGCCAATTAGTATTCTACCGTGCCTTTCTAAAATAATAGAAAAGCTTGCATGTAATCAGCTAACAAAGTACCTTGAAGCAAATAACATCCTTCCTGAGCTGCAGTCTGGCTTTAGAAAGAAGCACAGCACTACCACAGCGCTTATAGAGGTCGTGGATGATATACTGACTGCACAAGCTAGTGGTGAGGGTACTATTTTAACATTACTTGATTTCTCGCGCGCCTTTGAAACCCTCAATATCCCATTACTTCTTTCAAAATTATATTTTTATGGTTTAAGCAGAAACGCAACCCAATGGTTTGCCAGTTACTTTAAAAATAGATCACAGCAAGTTGAAATACAATTAAATGGAAAAGGTAAAGCTATTTCTGGGGAACGCCCTGTGAACCGAGGAGTACCGCAAGGATCCATTTTAGGCCCCTTACTTTTTATAATATATAGTGCGGACATTATTAAAAATATAGAGTATTGTAAGTACCACATGTACGCTGACGACTTACAGATATATATATCGTTTAAGCCTTGTGATGTTCAAGTAGCAGTGACAAAATTGAACTTGGATTTGGGTCGGATATCTTTGTGGTCAGAGCGTAACGCATTGGTTCTCAATCCAAAAAAGTCGCAGTACCTTATTCTAGGATCGCCAAATCAAATAAAAAAGATCACACTAAGCCACCCTGCCATTATTATAAACAACGAACCTATTGTGAGGGTCACTGAAGTCAGAAATTTGGGGGTAATAATGGACGACAAACTTCGTTTTGAGAAACATGTAATGGATATTGCACGTAACTGCTTTTATAGGTTGAAAGTACTTTACCGTATTCGCGAGTACCTAAGTGTCACCTTACGTATACATCTCTGCGAGTCTATCGTGCTTTCAAAATTCAATTACGCGGATTCTCTCATAGGCCCACGACTATTATCTCGAACACAGCAAATAATACAACGGGTACAGAATGCCTGTGCACGCTTTTGTTTCAATGTACCACCACGTGCACATGTAACCCCTTTCATTAATAACGCTAATATTTTAAAAATGGACTGTCGCAGGCGACTACACTTTGCCTCACTTCTGTTTGGAGTTATTAAAAATAAAGAACCATTATATTTATATAATAAGTTGATTTGGTCTAAAGATCAAAATAAGCAGTATAATACCAGATCATCCAATTACAAGTTAGTATATCCTTTCTACCGGTCGGCCGCTTTCAGAGGTAGTTTTAAATATAATGCCACTAAATGTTGGAATAACCTCCCGCCTCCACTGCGTGACCTGAAAACAATTAGTGGGTTTAAAATCAAATACAGGTTACACTTACTTTCGGAACAAAAAAATACCGATCTATAAAATAAACTGGTAGGAGGTTAAGTTCTTTCAACACGTCAGTAATCTCAGTCCCATAAATTATGTAAATATTTTTAATTTTCACTTTATATAATATATAAAACTATTTTATTTAAATATTTATATAATAAATTTACTTTTTCTGACAATCATTTTCTTACCTTTATTCTTTAGCCAACGTTTATTCCGCATTCTTAATAAATAAAATTGATATATTTAGAAGAAGAAGGTTAATTCTATTTTGTACTTACCTTCATTAGACTAATGATATCCACTATTTATGTGAATTAAAATTTAAAAACATATATTTTTTTTATATATTCCGCGTCGCATTATAGCATGTGCATTGAGGCAGCCGTCCGAGTTACGTCGGAGTGCGGGCCGGACTGAAAACCAGTGTCGGGATCAGAGCAATTCGTGTTTCTGTATCTCGATTTTTGCTGAGTCCTGTCCATTTCACGGTCTTATGCTGCTACACAGACTCATTTTATATTATTTTTACATTTTTGTTAATTTAATATTGTTTTATTTTCTGTTTAATTCCAATTTCTTGCTTTGTTTTATATCTATTGTGATTAGACCGTGAATAAATGCTTTTTCTTCCTTCTTTCTTTCTTTCTTTCTATTGTAATTTTTAAAACTTACCAGGATTAAGAGTTGTCACTGCTCTACCGCCATTATGTTAAAATCTGTCACATATGAGATAGTATATTTAGACACATTTCATATAAACTGCATGAAGAATGTTTGTCAGTAATCACCCCTTCCATATCCGCCGGAGGTATCTCGCGCTTGTCACTCAGCAGGGTTAGCTTAGTAGACTTTCCACTATCGTTAACATTAATGGTTAAAAAAGGTAACCATTGTTATATCACCAAAATTTAAAATGACCGTCATTCTGTTATCACGTTTCGAGTTTTAAACTTCTTATATATTATTTATAATAGATGTAAGTTTCTAGCTCACCGGAAAGTTCGTGAAATCGTCGCTATCAGCAAACCTTGAATAAAAATTTCGAAATCAAGGCATACCATCTTAGTTCTCTGGTGTGACAGCGCATTTGTATTTTGATTCATAGCATAGCATAAGCATAAACACTCACGCCTGTCACTCAGAGGGGTAGTATAAATTTGTTTTGTCACTCTTTCCTCATTCATTCTTTCTACATGACCAAACATTTTGATTCATAACTGTGGATAAATGTGGATGTCTATGAGCCACAGCATTCGCTACCATCAGGTGGACTGTGTGCTTGTTCGTCACCCATTGCTAAAAAAAAACTTGCGCGCGGGTTGTTTACAACCGGCTTTTTTCCAAAAAGTTCTATTTTAGTCTTAAGTTTTTTTTATAAGATGAGGGCGACAAACGATAACATAGTTAAACTGATGGAAAGTGGTTGTTGCAGTCCATAGACATCTATCCATATCGTCTCTTTCATGAAAAGTCCCTTGAAAATATGCTTACTCAAATGAGATGTGACCGTGGCGCTATGACAATGTACTACTTTAATAAAACTATGAGTAAAGCATATTTTGTAAGAAGAGGGACAAGTATTGAATGAAGCGGGGCGTGGTGTGCGCAGGCTGGAGCTACCTGCTGTCGCGCAAGAACCTGGTGCGCGCGTCGGGCGTGCTGCGCGCCGTGTGCGGGAGCTGCGCCGCGCTGTACCCGGGCGGCGCGCCCTGCGTGCTGTCCGCCTGCCTGGTGTCCACCGAGCCCGATCCCTGCCTGCGCCTCATGGCCGACCGCTTCACGCCCGACGAGCGCTTCTCGCAGGCCTCCATCCACTCGCAGCTGCACACGCCGCGCGACGTCACCGCCACGCACATCCTCGTCTTCCCCACCTCCGCCACCACGCAGGTGAGCACACTACACACTTCACACTATACACACCCTGATACCTGGACAATTTTAAACAATTTCCAATCTATAAAATATTTTACATATCTAATAAATTACATATCTATTTTAAATCTGTTATTAAATTACACAATTACTCGACATTAGTGTGTGAAGAAATAGCAAACACTTATTGGTAATATTGCTTTAATCATATATATAATACATATAAATATATAAAGCATGGGCGTTTTCAGGTTTTAGTTGCAACGGTTAGCGACAGTAGCCTAATGGCAGGGTGCGGACCGCGAACTCAAAAAGGTCGTGGGTTCGAATCCACCATTCGACTACTAGCGTGAACCACTCGTAACACAAGCAATTTAAGCTTACCACGAGTGGTTAAGGGGAACATTAGTCATGTTTATAGCATTGTTAATATTCTTAAAAAAAACACGGTTACATAACCGATATTGACTTTTCATATCGTTATTAAAAACCGTTATCAGATATCGATATCAGTGGAAATGGTTTGCTACTAAATGCGCAAACGACAACCGAAACACAACCGCATACTGTAAAACCAGCGCGAAACATTTATTTTACGAATTACTTCGATTATTAAAGGTAGTTTATTTATTAATGGTTATTTAAGTTGGCGATTATTCTCTATGCTTAACTAGGTTTACGATTAGCACACAAGTTTCTTGAATTAGAACTTAACTTCAAAGGTACATGGAATTGTCTTTTATATGAAAATGAGACCATATTTCACTAGCCTTATGCGACATTTTGAATGTCTTTTTACAAAAATGATTGAGAAAGTCTTAATCTAATATAATAATTAAAACTAATATACAAAATGCACAAAAGTATTGAAAATAAATGCACGAACGCGAATTTAAAAATTAATTTTTTTGTACATCTTAGAGAACGGCTGACGACACGCGCCATCATAGTCAAGTGCGTGATTCTTGCGTTTAGAAAAAAAATCAAAGTCAAAACTTTCCATCCCAAACATAAACAAAATATAATATGGTCATAAAAATGTAAGCTTTGTGTCTGATGACCTAAAGATATAACCTCACAACTACACAAACTTAAAAAGGCAATTTTAACCATTTAAAATTCTATCTTATTGCCCTAGACAATTATATATATATTTCGTGATGTGCACCGTTGTGTTATTGCAACGAAATCCACATTCGCTTTATCTCTTTCTATACTAATTTATGATATCGTTGCAAGAACGAGAAGCATTGCACGTTTTGATATCTCGGTCTCATGCCTAATATATATGTATATATATATATATATATATATATAATCAAGTATATTTATATAGAAATATAAATAATTGTTTTTTAGAAGGAGCTAATTACTTAGAAAATATAGTGACAATGGCTATGATTATTAGATTTATAATATTAATTATATTTTGTAAAAAAAATAACAAATTATGTGTTCAAAGAATTTTTGATGCAAAAATGTGCTTTTTTATTTTTAAATATTATCCTTTTTTGTGAATGCATATAGTAGTGATTCACAGTAGTTGACATTCGTAACTAAGGCGTGTAAATTTCGAATAAAACTAACTTTACGGATTTTATCGCGTTTAATTTTAACTTTTTTAATTCCCGAAGTTACGGACACTTTCCAAGGTTATCTTTAACGAAGGCTACCTTTATCTTTTATATATACATTTTTGGTCCTAACATCAATGATATGTGAAGTACCGATAACGGGAAGTCTGCAGTATGTTAACATGTCAACACGTCCCAACCATTATAACAGATTTGATGGACCACAAATCCTTGCAAAAAGAACACCGATTCCTACCAAGGATGATTCGCGAGGCTATTGAAATTAAAAAAACATCCTAATTTCTAGAATAAAATTGAGAAAATGACTGTGCTATCTTATTCTATCTGCTTCAGATCCTATTATTAATAAAATTAAATCCCATACGCAAACATACTATTCTGCAAATCTTCAAGGCACCGTACGAACGCACTCGTTCAACGTAAAACTTGAAGATAGCCTTCGTTAATTATGACAACGGGACGTCAAACACCTCAGTCCCCCCCCCCCCTCGTTACCATTAGCGCTGGAAAGTATCCGAAACGTCGAGAATTAAAAAAGTTAAAATGAAACGCAATGGAATCCGTAAAAATTTATGTACCTGTCTGCTGAAACCACCAAAGCGTGTGATTGATCATACAAATGACGATGCTATTAACGCTAGAGTGTTTGTTGTGCAGTCGAATCAGATGCCGTTCGAGCAGCCGAACGCCAACGGCGAGGACAACGACATCATGTTCCTGGGCGTGGACATGGCGGACGAAGACATGGGCGAGGACAACATGGCGGAGCTGCTGATCGGCGACATGTTCACGCACATGTGGGCGCAGGGCAGCCCGCGCGCGTCGCCGCGCCGCCACGACGACGAGGCGGCCGGCAGCCGCGACGGCAGCCCGGCGCGCCACCACCACCTGCACCAGGCCGCCGGCTACCACGTCGCAGACGACCACCAGCCGGTCAGTCGCACTCGCATGCCGCCGACACACGCCTGCATTGCCACATCGGCACCAGCCGGCACGCGTGTCATCGACACACGTCTTCATTACCACGTTTTGATGTTATGCAATGTTAAAGCTTTGCTGCAGCTATGCTATGGTTGTATCACGAATGGGTTAGCTCGACCGCGGAACGACCACGTTCTCACAGAAAATCAGCGCGAAATAGAGCGAAATATCAGCTAAATGTTTCTATAGTGAGAGGCAATTCAGAAAACTAATGATAACGAACTCATGGAATACAGTTTGATGGAAGTGGTTGCTGCGGCCCATAGACATCTACATCTACCATCAATTACGAATAAAAATGCAGATGCGTTGTCACCCGTGAAGAGACTAAGATGGAATGCCTCGTTTTCAGTAAAAAGGGTCTCCGGTTCTCTACACCATACGAAACAAAGCAGCATTAAGCTACTGTATTACGCCGGTATTCTGTGAGAGCGTGCACCTATTCGTGCTGCAACTATACTGCAGCATGGCTCTATCACGTAATAAATCCAAATCCACGCATCCATTTACCATCCACCATGTGGACTGTGCGATTTTTATTTTTATAGTGTTAGGGTGATAATAACTTACGTATAAAGAATTAAATATACTGAAATCTTTTTTAAGAGCTGTTAAAGCAAACATTTCAAAAGATATTGTATGAAGATTATATTGTAATGATGTCATAGTTTTCACAGTTTGTAACTGTTTTATTTGTATTATTTTAAATACTAAAAATCTTAATTGGACTTGTGTTTGCGCATAAACCCTATATAATATTTCCTGTCGTGTCACAGATTAGTGCACTATAATTCTTTGAGATTGGCAGCTTTGACCAAAATGCGGTCCGAATGACTATTATAATTTCTGATTTCCATCGGAGTATTTTTTTTTTCATTTTATTAATTTATAAATTTCAAGATTACAAGTTATTTAGTCTTAGTGACAGAGTAGACAGAGATTAGGAATTTCATCATTGCATGATTTAATAAGAAATATTGTTTTCAACCGACTTCAAAAAAAGGAGGAGGTTCTCAATTTGACACTATTTTTTATGTATGTTAGTTACCTCAGAACTTTTTTCTAGGTGATCCAATTTCGGTGATTCTTTTTTTATTTTTATTTGAAAGCTGGTGCTTCTCATGTGGTCCCAGATAAATTTGATCGAGATATGTTCAGTGTTTTTGAGTCATCCCCTAATAATGCGTATTTAATGTAGTTGACATTGATAAGGTTCTCATTTTATTTATATTGAAGTCGGTTATACAAAATATTTAATTTTAGTAGTTGTTTAAAACAGTAGGTATGATATGTGCGCAGGAGCAGATCGGCACGATGCTACAGCAGCCGCTGGCGCTGGGATACTTGGTGTCGACGGCGCCGCTGGGCGCCATGCCAGCGTGGTGGTGGGCGGGCTGCGCGCACCTGCGGGACGCCTGCCCCGCCTTCCTCAAGAACGCGCTGCACCTGCACTCTGGCAGCGCGCAGGCCGCCGACGACTTCACCTCGCTCACGCAGCGCCGCGACCACAACTCGCACCCGCTCGACTCGCAGACCACCACCGACGTGCTCAGGTACGCTACACGCGAATTACTACGACGCGAATACATTACAATAAGAATAGAAGAGGCGTGGGCGTTGAGCTTAACCAATAGTAAATGGACTTTTGTTACGCTAAGACAAGGCGGTTTACCATCGAGGGTTCTAAAGCTTCGTCACCACTTACCACCAGATGGGATGGTGGTCGAGCACTGGTAAAAGAAAAAGTTGATGAATTTGTATACTTGAGATGTGTGTTTAGCAAGGATGGCAGTGAAAATGTAAAAGACAAGGCGTTATTCACCTATATATACTTGTAGGTAATGATATCGAAGGATTCATTATTAGGATACACCCCATCTGACTGTTAGCATTGCAAACGCCAATCCGCTTGTAGTTTTATGATTCTGTTTACAGCGTATTAAGAATATTGACGCTAAGCCTTAATTCTCGCATACAGGTACGTTCTGGAAGGATACAACGCACTGTCATGGTTGGCGCTGGACGGCACCACAAACGACCGACTGTCCTGTCTGCCGCTGCATGTGCAGGCGCTCATGCAGCTCTACCACACGGCCGCGGCGCTTGGCTAGTACGCGCCACCTGTCACGTCAGCCACCTGCCATAACTGCAACACCTGCTGCCGTCGTCCGTCGAGTACTTGCAAATCATCCTCAGTTACGTTTTGATAGTTCAATTGTCATTTCAAGTTTATGAAAGAGCTTATATAGTTCATACTCAAATTTAAAAGGGACTAAGATGTACGAAAGTATGGTCCTCGATTGTATACATGTCATAATCTGTGAACACATGCTAATGTGTTATTTAAAAATATCAAACCTGGTTATAATTACAGGTAGTAAGTAAAAAAGTTGTAATTCCAATAAAAGACAAAAGAAACCTTTATATTGTATTGTTAAAAGAAAGTTAATCTGAGATCTTTCTAAGGATGACGATGTTTACAAATTTTTGGCTTAGGTAGTAGTAATTTAAGGTTACCATCTGTTAGGTCTATTGTATCTCAACACATTCTTATTTGGAAGCATTTGTTAATTGAAATAATATTCAAAGTGATTGAGGCGACACTACAATTTGTTCTATGAAGTTAAGGGTACAAAAATTCTTACGTTGCCTAGAAAAAATGCATTTTACTAAAATGTTTTTTACAAATCCAGAACAGACAAAATATCTGTGCTGTTTTTTTATATATTGAATTCTAAAATACTTTTTATGAATAATTTTACTTCAAAACACAATTATAAATTACAAAAGTATACAATATTTATAATAAAGTATAGGAAAAAAAGGTTTGTCTGGTCATCTTTGAACCGTGATTGAATATATAAGAGTTTAACTCCAAAACATTGACAGTACTTAGATTTACTACTATTGAGTAGGGTATGTATTTAAGAAGGGCGTTGTAAAGAGATTGTTATATGTATAGAGCCTTTATAAAGGCATTTGGCGGAGGTAATTATTTCAGAGTAATATATAGTCTATTTAATGGTGGTGTCGTGGTTTTTGAAATCTATGTCTCGTTTCTTGTGGGTTTATTTTTTCCTTTTTTAAAAACAGTTCAAGCCTTTTGATAAACGCTATTTTAATATAAGAATTACCCAAAAAAAAAAAACGAATTGCCGATTGTCAGGAGTGAATGTTACCACGCACAAACTCCTCTGAAATATCAGAACGTTATAGAATGTATATAGTGATAAAGTTAGAAAAGAAGCCGGGAAGTAAGTTCGTTATATAACAAAATCTTATGATGGTCCAATTGATCTAAGTGGACATGTTTTCAAGTTTGTTACTACTGTTATATAGGAATTTTGTGAAGTTTAGTGATCTTCAATTTTTCTTCTGATTTCCTCTTTGAATCATGAAAGAAAACACTTCCATTGACGTCTTTCGCTATAATTCATTCTTCCGTGATTCTCTTTCACTCCATAGATATATGTATAAAAACTAAATCTGTTTGGTTAAACATAATATTGTAATATTTTGCTACATATTTCCTATAACATGCATTAATGTTCATACATTTTATTTTCAATTTATTTAGAAATTTCAATCATTTGATACTTTTATTTCTGTTATTCATGACATTTTATATGTATGTATGTTTTATCATTATGCAAAATAATTGTATTTACTGTAAAACATTAATTATGACCAAAGTAGCGTAATTTTATTTTTGGCCTTCCATTTGTCTCCAAAAACTCGTCATGTTATTTTTACATTACTACATCTTGAATTTTAATGGCGGTTTTAATGAATAATGTTATTTACGTTGTTGAGCTGTGTAGAAAGTAATATATACCTTTTATATTATGTTACAAACCGGTATGGATTACCAAAGGAATTAGGTATTGTGTAGTTTTTTAGATATTTTTATCATCCTTATTTTTCTGTATAGAATTCGTTTCACAGGGTTCTTGTTTTGTAACGATGTAATATAAAAATTACGAAATTTATGCGTTACTCATTAAATTAAACTTTATTTTTGTATAGTTTTTTTACGTTGGTACGACATGAAATTATTTTGTACTGTTTGTATCGGATTAATCTCGACTTAAGAGATTTAGCTTTACATTTTAGAGACAAATTTACATTAGGAGAATTGACCAGTAGTTACTTAGCGGCCGAGTCTACATGTACAATTTTATATCCAGGGAACAAGCCACTTGTCCGTTTGTATGAAAACCGCTTCAAAATTACACACAAATAAGTGCGAACTTTTACACGAACAATTAAGTGGACTACCGAAAACTCACCACGTGCGAACTCTGTATTCTCTTTATAAGAATAAAGGAAACCAGTTTGCTAAAGATAATACCTTTTATCCACATGAAAAATTATACTTTCTATTGAAAATTAATTAGTGACACCAATAGTTTACGATTACTTAAATAGCTATAAAAATCCAATAGGTCGAGTATCAGTTAGCATTTGTATTATTAGACGTCGTTTTTTAAAAATATAGATAGAACCCGTTGAAACAAAACTTGCGATGTTGATTCGTCGAATCTCTGACAATTTGGTAGTTATATTGAATTTTCTATTTTAATATATATCTATATTAAAGATTAAGTAAATAAATATACATGTAAATATGTCCGAATGCGTGTTGTGGAGTGTGGACGGACGCGTGGCTCACGCGTTAATTCCGATTTCGTACTACTCTCCCGTCGGCTCGATGCAGAGACGTAATCACAAATCCATTATTGGCCTTGAACAAATTGGAATCGTATACATACTAGTAAGTTTTTGTTGCATTATAATTATTTAAAATCGATGTTTTTTTCTTTATGTTGTGGTGAAAGCTGGTCGTAGGCAAATTGTACAGTTTTGTATGATAGAGCGGCGACAGTATACATAAATTATTATTGAATCGTAGCAGCGGCCCGTCCGCTACTTAACTGAATTATGCCTAGTTGAATATGAAATGTTTTAAATGTGTTACAGCATTTGAGAATATTTAATGATGTTGTATATAGTTTATATTTTGTTTTTGTAAAACGACATTTTGTACATAGGATCGACGCAGTATGGCGTACCGTTAGTTATTTTTGCCCACTTTGCCGACGAATAATGGAGCACATTTTAAAGAAACCACTCGTAATATTTTGTACAGTTGTTAAGCGAGATTCGTAGTTGAATGAATTATTTTTAAGATTTTGTTTTTGACCTTTTTTGTTATTGTGAATTTGTCAATTTTTTTAGGGAATTGGGATTGTACTGTACATAGACCACCATTTTGTCATATATTAGTAGTAAGCGGTCAAATCTCATGATGCATATGGAAATCAAATTTTCTAAATGGAGCAATCATTAGAGAATCGTAAACAAAACTAGCGTAATACTTGATATTAATATAACTTTATAAATAACTGTGAAAATAGGTAATAACAATTATGAATAAAATATTACATATTTAAAGCCTTCTTTTATTTTGTGTATCATTTGCTAGCATGTGCTGTTTATGTGATTCCCTGTCTGTATAATTTGAAATGTTGAAAGCGTACGGGGACCGTCCGCGAAACAAAGAGGCAGCTCTCTAGTGTTCTTGTGCCGAAGATAGTGAGATCAAAACATTACCAACAACATAATCTTTATATATAAAAATTACGTGTCACTATGTTTGTCCGCAATGAACCCCGCAACCACTCAACCGATTTTAATAAAATTGTGTAAATGTGTATGTATTGCTTGCTCTATAACTTAGAGATGGGATAGTTTTTATCCCAATAAGAGACTCAATATTTTTATTGCGAATTTTAAGATTTTTTTTTAAATACAAACGGCAAAACAAAGTATGCCTAGCCAGCTAGTATATTTGTAAAAAATGGAAAAAATAAATACGAATTTCAACCAGTTGCCAATAATCTTATACGTGGCCAGAATGATGAAAAAGAAAAAAAAATCAATTCAATCATTCATTAGTGTAATTAATAAACTGTTTTTTTTTGTTTTTTCGAGGCTACAGAAAAAAGAAAACTAAACAGCCGTGCACTTCGTCAATAAGAGAGCCATAAAACTATGACAAGGTTTTGTAAGATCCACATTTATTGGGTCACAACTTGAGTCTCGGACATTTTTCGAAATTAATTATTATACAAAATTAATTATTTGTGTTAAGAGCCTACACTACCTCAAATGGCTTAACAAGATCCTCTGTTATGCCGAAAATACTGCAGCATTGTTTTTGAAATAAATATATGGTGAAGTTGAGGATTAATGTTAAGTACATAAAATTTTCTCGATAGAAAAAGAATCCAAAGTTACCTCTAAACCAAATTCTAAAAATAAAAAAAAATACTTAAAATTAGATCATGAAACTTCGCATACTAACGGAACTAACTATAAAGCAGGGCTTATGTTATTTTTTTAATTATCATTATTTTCACCGTAAAAAGAAATTACCTAAACTATCGTCGTTTTAAAGTTTGCTACCTGCCGCCCGACACCGTCGTTCACTCCATAGATAAGAGTGTATATACGGAGGTAAGGTCTCATCATAACTAACGAAATGAACCCAAACTCGGCACACCTAGTACTATTCTAGGAGTTCCAGTTGTAATCAAAGAATTACACCTCCAGGTTCCTGTGATTATTTTTCCTAAAAGCCACTTACATGGAGGCTCTCTAGTATATAGTTAGTAATCTATGATGGAGGCAGATCTTCTTCCTTTATTATGACTATATCCACAATTGATGAGGATTGTACAACCCTTTGCCACTTATATCTTTGTTGTAAGGTTTGTAAATAATCTGCTTGCCATATTTTCCAAAAAGCTTGAATTTTGTTTTGAATAAACTGCCATCGCGTCAACAGATTAACGTTTTTATTGACATATCGTTTTCAGGAAGACCAATTAGTGGCTCACCGATCAGAAAATGTCCTGGTGTTAATGGGTCAAGAGTTTCTAGCGTATCGTCCATTTGACATAGAGGTCGCGAATTGAGGCATGCTTCAATTTGTGCCAGTAATGTCGTCATCTCCTCGTAAGTCAACCTAGTTGCATCACTTATTCTAGATAGATGTTGTTTAGCGGATTTCACACCGGCCTCCCATAAACCACCGAAATTTGGAGCC